AGTTATATTGGTGATGCATGAGGTAGCATGTTACTGCTGTAGCAGGTTGAGTTGGAGCCACCTTTAACTGTGTTGTATACTGGTCTTTAACAGTGCACAATATTTTCCTATGAAATGTAACAGTAGAAGTAATTTGCAAGAACTTGAAACACTTATCTGAAGGTCAAGTATCTCAAATTTGTACTTTAATACTTAAGGAAATGGACTTTCACTCTTACATTTCACCATTGTATCAATTTCTTAACACTAAAACATGCTGTACATGATTCTGCCTCACACTTCTAAGATTCACTTATTACTATGACTATGACTGACATACTGGATGAATTTCCATGAAATCTGGTACAATTCCTCAGGAATTCTGGTAATGATTCCTTTAATTTTCATCTGGCGCCATCATCAGGTGTAAATATTATCTGTCCAATACTTTGGTTCATCAACAAATGGCATTCCCATCAGCCTCAGCTATGCAATGAAACATTTTAAATGTGTAAATAAAACAAACAATTAAACCAACAAGACAGGTGAAAATCATCACTTTGTTTGTATTTAGCTTTAATTACCATTTTTTTTATAGCAACACATTAAACTTAGATGGCAACATTACACCTGCTACAAATCAGCATGTCAGCATTGTCACTATGAACATGTTGAAGGTGGGATCACTCATTTTAGAGAAGAGTCATTATTGTCTACTATAGTGCTGAGTTCAAAGAGGATCGTCCCACTGGGAAAAACTGGATCTGGGAAAAGCAGTCGGGCACCATAACACCATATTTGGAGAGACATTTTTCACCATATCTGTCAATGGAAGAAGCATCACTTTGATCGACACTCCTGGTTTCTTTGGGACAGAAAGGTCTGATGAGTCATGCTTTTCCTATTGTGCTTACAGAGCATGAGCAGGCTGTCATCACTAAAATACTCCTCTAATATTTCTACATTGTTGATCATAAATAAGAGAGCTGTAGTAATAAATTTGGAAATAATGCTATTTGACCAACCAAGTTTTAGCTGCAGTGCTACTTGTTCAATGGTAATTATTTTCATAAGGCTATTAAGCTGCATACCAGATCCATACGTGCATTTGATGAAAAGAAGTCCAACATTATTCTGTCTTCAATTAATCATTGAAGCATTAACATGTGGTGGAATATTTCTGTTCAATCGTGGTTATACCATGTAGTGAGACGTGCAAAATAGTTGTACATGAAAACACCTACGGTATGCTTCTTTTTGTACTTTGTTCATTGTGCAACAATTCAGGGAGTGGAGCTGGCACCAAACTCAAAGAAGATAAAGGGAACATACACACACACACACACACACACACACACACACTGGTAGTCCTGTCATTGTAACTCATTACTGCCACACAGTTACTTCACTTTTGACAACATGGACGGTAAGTTAATTTTTTTCCATCGTTTCTGCCAGGAATGAACACGGCACATTAAGATGCACGATGCAAGAAATTGAGATAGCTCTTTTGTTGAAAATATGTTTTAGGCTTTATGCTTAGATGCTGCTATACATTTTGGTAACACTTTATAAAAGTTTGGTATTGGCAATAATCAACTATTACTATTAAATACTAATACAATATTGACTGATTCCTACTGGTACTTAAATCTAGGTACTGTGGAATATAATACACAGATGCACAGAGAGTGGACACAGATGCAGACACAGGGAAGTGAATAGTTTAGTAAGATTGATAGATAGATGAAGGAGATTGAGCTCAGGCGGTGTGTGCGAAGATTGGCTAGACTAGTTTTTTTGAGTGTCCTTTCTGTATTTCTTTGGGGGTACTTGAACTGTGAGTTGAGGAACTGATTGTAGACAGGTGTAGAGATGAGCCAGGTGCCAGGAGAGGATGAGACTGCGAGGAGGAATAGTGAAAACAGAGGAAATGCAAGGTGGAGTCACGGCATGGACACTTTAGAGGAAATATTACCTATTGTTAATACCTATGCGGTGAAGTGAAATAGCTGCTCTCTTCAATAACAGCTGGGCTATATGTATATTTTTATGCATGAAAACAACCAAAAGTATAATTGATGGACATAATACATAATTCTCTTTCAGTGTCAAACAACTGGAGAATCGGTCCATTTCAATAGGGAAAGGGACTGGAAGCTGGGAAAAAAAGGAAGCCTTTTGGTAACCATATATGGAAAAAAAAGAAATGCTTCAAAGAAGCGGCAAACAACTTCTCAAAGTTCTGAACAACAGACTGTAAAGCAGAACTGAAATCTTGGTTTCAATGGGGAAGAAGCATCACACTGAATCCGACACTTTTTTCCTGGTTCTGGACCACAGACAAAAGAATCTTTGAAGAAGGAGTTGAAAGAGTGAGATAGTTTTTGAGGGTGGTAATTCATAGAGTTGTTGCTCCGGGGCCTTCATTGCTTTTTTTCTTCATTGTGCTTAAAAGTGGAGAAATTTCACGAAGGCAGAGAGCATGAGCAGGCTGTCATCAACAAAATACACGAATACTTTTCTGAAGAGGTTTTTAGATATACAGTAGTCCTCTTCACACATGGTGACCAACTCGAAGAAGGAAAGAAAATTGAGGAATTGGTCCACCAGCATAAGTTCCTGAGTGATCTGGTGGAGAAGTGTGGCAGCCGGTGCCACGTCATTGATAATAAATACTGGAACAAAAACCCAAATGATGAATACAGGAGCAACCAGTTCCAGGTGGAGGAGCTACTGAAGTCCATAGACAAGATGACTGAGGCAAACAAAGGAAGCTGCTACACCAATGAGATGCTACAAAAAGTGGAGAATGAAATACAACAAGAGGGGAAGCGCATTAGACTGTCATCAGTAAACATGTCAGATAGAGCAATCAGAGAGAAGGCTAGGGACAGCATATTTACGGAGATTTTAAACCAAATGGCAGGTTTTGCCACCACTGCATTGTTAAGAGCTTTGTTTGGTGCGGGAAAGGTTACACAAGCTGTAGCTTCACCAGTTACATGGTCACTTGGTGCGCTGTTATCATATATAGGAGGATTTTTTCAAACTAAGAGAGCACAGTGAGCAGCAAAGGACAAACATACACAGTGTGTCTCAGATTATGTGATGGACTTACCACCACAGCCAACTTTAAAACACATTCAAAACCTATAATGAGTCATGAATTTTGAACAAAGTGCTGATAATTTATCTTATCTAATTTATCTCTAAAAAGTCAAATCCCACTGTAAATTTCATGGAAGTCTTGTTCTAAACTATCTTTAATCATTGAGCTAAACATGTTTAAACATGCTTTTTCCTTTCTTTAGATAGACAAGAAGGGGGTACAGAGAGAGGGGGTCATATTGTAAAACTGGCAAACTTAGGAAGCACCTACACTTCAAAAATGGAAATATTACTTTGTGGCATGTCTCGCTACTAACAAGGGTTCTCTCAGCACACAGAGCACAACAGAGATGAATTAACAAGACATCTTTATTGCTGTTGTCAGCTGCACACACTATTAACACAACGTAGCCCACTTCAAAAGTCCATGAAGGTTTCCTCGGCTTGTCTCTTCTGTTGTGTGTCAGCCACCAGGTCCAGCACACTACTGCCTTAAGAGAGGTGAGAGTGACTGAGAGTGTGAGAAGTGAGTGTTAGTACCACCTGAGATTATCAACTCACCTGGCCCTGCTCTCACAAACCTTCCCCACACCTCTCTCCTGTGCAAACCACACTCACCTCCACATACTTGATTATTGAAAGCACAATATCGTCAAAAAGACAAAGAGAAACAATTTCACAAGATATACAGCTCTATTATAATGAACCCTGTAGAATTAGTGGAGTCACAAAATCATCCAGCATCCATAAATTATAAAGGAACACTGTCTCTTTACAATCGGTTAATCATTGAAGCATTAACATGTGGTGGAATATTCCGTTCAATCATGGTTCAGATGTGCAAAATGGATGTACATGAAAACACCTACGGTATGCTTCTTTTTGTACTTTGTTCATTGTGCAACAATTCAGGGAGTGGAGCTGGCACCAAACTCAAAGAAGATAAAGGGAACATTCACATACACGCAAACATTCACATACACACACACACACACACACTGGTAGTCCTGTCCTTGATTCATTGTTGCTCCACAGTAACTTCACTTTTGACAAGATGGACGGTAAGTTAATTTATTTTTCGATAATTACTGGCAGGAACAACACGGCACATTAAGATGCAAGATGTAGAAACTGAAATAATAGCTGTTATTTGGTACATATTTTTAACAGTGTGCAGGTGCTGTACTTGTACTGTACTGTACTTACGGTACTGCTTTATAATAAGCTTGGTATTTACTGTGTAATATTGTTGTATAAATCAGGTACTAAGAAAATATTTACTGGTTCCTAACTGGTACTTAAATGTGAGTACAGTGAAATATACTAAGATGAGGTAACAAAGGAGTAACAATGGGACATTTAAGAGGAAAGGAGAAATCATTTTTGAAAATACTCTGGTGTACAGTAGCTAATGGGAAAGAAACATACAGACGCTCCATTCAGCACGTGTATCCTCTCTTTCCAATTAACAAAGATCAGATCAGATGACTGAATTGCAAAAGAAACAGATTTTCTAGGCATGAACAGCTTCAAAGACCTGAGCTCAGCAATTTTAGAGGCGTTGCAAACAGAGATTAAATATTTAAAAGATCAAGATTCAATGTGATGAAATTTAAATATAATGAACTGAGAAATACCATATGGATACATGACTTAATGGCCTCGCTTTAAATCTTTCAACATTTAGCGATACTAAGCGATGCTGTGGGTTCCCACTCTTTTTAAGAAATCATTTGCCAGGACTTTTCCAGGAAATTTCCCAGAGATTTTTCTTTACAAAAGAAGGATAGCACTTGCTCACAACTGGTGGTCAACCATAGGGGGTCAGCATTTCTGGGACACTTGGCACTTGAAATTTTTCTGATAAACTGACTACAGTTTTACTCAAACTGTAACATTAATTTGGCCACAAAAATAACAATTCAAATCAAAGAGAATGTATTTTATTTTCAGAGAAAATTCCTCTTCTCACGTATAAGCCTATGAAAAGAAGCAGTATAAAGTGACAGTGTTGCACATACAATTGATTAGCAGCACTGTCTATTTTATCAGTATTATTTTTACTTGATTTAGAAATAAAGATGGCATTGTTTACATGATACACGTTTTGTTCAACTCACTGCACTAAAAGCATCTCTTATACCCACATTTATTTTAAATCTGTGCTGCTGAAGAAAAGTTATTGATTTCTATTTTCCTCTGTTCTGTTCACTATGCTTTTCCAAACTTGTTTTTTTGGAACACAGAACAAGTTACACTGAAGTTACAACTTCTTCCTGTTTCTTGGCCAAAGATCAAAATTCAACACCACACCTCTGAATGATGACTTCGGTTTTAAATGTTTCGGTAATAGTCGGTAAAATTGTGAAATCGTATTAGATTTACTTTTCACTTGTTTTTAGAAACAAACAAAATAGGACGTGACCATGAGAAGTGAATGATCATGTGACCCTTTACCATCACCTGCAAATTCCTGTACTTAAAAAGGCATGACTACCATTTTTACCTCCATGCTATGATGAAGGCCATGAGGCCGAAATGTTAGCATGTTTTTCTGACATAGCCAAAATAAATTGGTGTAAATGAGATTATGCCTTTTATGCCTTTGGGTGTGTGTGAAACATAATACTTTTAATAATGCTGAGGACAAATGTATCAAGAAATCATGTAACAGACACAAAAAGGCAAAACTAGCCTGGTTAATATAACAAATCTAGACTTAAGAAAAGAGAGGGCATTCAAATCTGGCCTTGATGGAGCATGCGGTGGCTCACCTGGTGGTGTGCTCCTCCCATGTCGGCTGGGTCCTGGCGCAGCGGCCGGGTCCACCTTTGCTCTATGTAGTCTCTGAGGGGAAAAGATTTAACAGAATGGAAAATGGGATGATCAGGAGTTTTGTTACCTTGTCAGTGGGTCATCAACTCGTATCGGATTACAGTCACAGGAAGTGACCAGGTGAGAGGTGACAAGAAGTGACCCGTCACAATAGAAGTCCAGTTAATTCATACCAAGTGAACAATATCATATTAAAAGGTCCCTGTTCCCCCAACATTGTTTCATTTTATTGCAGTCAATTTAGTTTGTTTTATATATGTTGTTATATGTCTCTAGTGGTGTAAATATTTAAAAAAAAGCGTTGCATGGTTGACTCCATCCCAGCCTACCAAACGAAAATTTTACGCATGTTTGTTTGTGTTCATCCAGTTGAACCTGACAGAGCTGAGGACGTTCTCCGACTGGAAGGTTCCCAAAATGAGCAAGGTAATATTTTACAGTGACGTCTTGTAATGTTTCTCAAGATTAATGGCTGGCTACCACGATGCCAAAAAGCTGGCAATATGTCTGTCCTAACCACTGGCAATGGAGTGGGACCAGGGCACTGTCAGGGAACACCAGAGCGATTCAAGCTGTTAGGGTCACATAATTGTTTCCTTTTATGTTATGAATTTGAATTTGCCATACAATACCATGTTATACACACACACACACACACACACACAACACACACCACTATATATATATATATATATAATATCAGATAGTAGGATGTCAATGTTGCAGGTAATAATATCAACAACAGAAAATCAAAATCAATTATATTGGAAAAAGGTAATATGGAAGACAGAATGTAAAACAAAATACAAATTAGGGCAAATATCCAAGGGTATTGGGGGGTATAGATACTGTATAACTGGGTGCAGCTGTTCTTAAATGGGTCTCTTTTTACGTATTGGAACCATTCTTCCCTCTACCCTATTAAAAGAACATTCAGCTATGCTCCTACAGTAATAACTGCTTTACCGGTTTCATTGTGAATTTTTGATAAGGATATATTGAAATTGATTTTACAATAATGTTCTAAAACATTTACACACCACATATATAGATATAAAGGACTAACTATTATTGATAGACATCTATTCTGTCTCTTCTCAAATTGTTTCAGAAAAAAAAGGAATCATCATCTCTGGACCTGCGGCTGGCAAAAGCAGCCTGGGTAACACCATATTTCGGGAGAGAAGCGTTTTAAGATTGGACATAATTTCAACCTCTGAAACAAGACAATGTCAAGTAGAAACCAAATTTGTCAATGAAAGAAGCATCACTTTAAATCGACACTCCTGGTTTCTTTGACAGACAGATCTGAGGAGGGGAGCTGAAGCCTGAGATAGTGAGGTGTATCACAGAGTGTGGCTCCTGGGCCTCATGCTTTTCCTCATTGTGGTTAAAGTGGAGAAATTCACAGAGCCAGGAACAGGCTGTCATCACCAAAATGTGCCAATACTTTTCTGAAGAAGGTCTTTCAAATATGCCAGATAGTTGTCTTCACTCATGGTGACCAGCCTCCCTGAAGCGACAACAAATTGAGAAATTTGTCTTCCAGAATGAGTTCATGAGTTATCTGGTGGAGAAGTGTGGCAAGCCGGCTGCCATGTCATTGATAATAAATACTGGAACCAAAACCACAAAGGATGAATACAGGAACAACCAGTTTCCAGGTGGAGGAGCTACTTAAGTCCATAGACAAGATAATTGAGGCAAACAAAGGAAATTGCTACACCAATGACATGCTACAAACAGTAGAGCAAGAAATACAACAAGAGGCAGAGGTCATTAGACAGTCATCAGAAAACTTGTCAGAGAAAGAGATCAGAGAGCAGGCCAGGTTTATCATATTACAGAAGCTTTTGAGCAGACTGGCAGATTTTGCAAGAGTTGCACTGTTTAACACTTATTCAATAATATCTGCTGCAGTGGGTGTGCTGATAGAAAGTGTTACAGGACATAATGCAGTTGAGGTAGCAGAAACACCACAGGAAGCAGCAGAGGCTGAACAGAATAAATCAGATCTGGGACAGACTGTGGTTGATGGTTTTGTTTTATTCTAAAATCACTACCAAAGTTAAAAGAGTGTTCAAGGTCCAGTGTGTAACATTTGGGAGGATCTATTGGTATAGGAACATTCATAGGAACACTATGAGTCATGCTGTTGCTGATGCCGATGCTTCCATGGAGTTTTCCATGTTGAATCGTCATGTTTCTACAGTAGCCCAAAATGGACAAA